CGACAATGTATTTTTACTGACAAATACCTTTTTTATTTTCTAAAAGAAGATATTATGAGTCAGCCCTCTCTCTCTCTCTATCTACCTCTAGATCTCAACCCGGCGAGCCTCAGCGGCAATGCATCCAGCCCCGATCCGATCTAACCAACCCATGACCACGCGCGGTCCGTTTCCCTCTCTCTCGCGTCCAGCCCACATCCAACTTTCCTCGCCCCAGACAGATCATCGCGCTTCAGCCTCGCCAACCTCCATCTGCTGTCTTCTGATTGGCCCAACGCTCGCATGACCTAAACAACTAGCCCATGACCCGCGCACAACCCGCTCCTTCATCTAAACCGCTTCTCTGCCCGTCGACGCGACCCACTCCCCTTCCAGCTTCAACTCGGCTCGACTCGGCTCCACTGGATCTTGACATATCCTCTCGGCTTAAATGTTTCAGTTTTGATAATGTTCTAATAGAAAGTTGTGGACTGCATGGACGCGGTTGACACTATAAACTTGGTTGAATGGCTAGTCATGGTATGTATGAACGTATAGAGATGAACAAACATAAACCTGAGATGCTAATAAAATAAAAATGTGAATCATGTCATGATACGGTAACATGATACTAACCATTTTAGTAGGAAAAGGAAAGTTATTCATGAAATAAATAAATAATAATATGTCATGAATAATCAATATGATACTAGTAGCATGATAATATTAATTATGCATGCACGTGACCTATATCATGATATTATTAATCATACTAATAGAAGGCTAGTCATAGAAGAAATGATTATATATGAATAGCCATGACACATTTTTATTTTACGACACATCATGTGTATGTATTATACATTATTATTTTACGGCATATCATGTAAATTTATGTACATTTACAACAATCGTATGAAATTGTTTATGAGTTGTGATGAACATGTATTAAGAATGAGAAATAGAATTGAAACCTCATCTATCCGTGTCCAAAGAAAATGAAATGTAGAAAATTTGGAAGGAGATTGCCGATAGGGTCCCTCGTAATGTTTTTAGAAAACTTGAGAATATGGTCACGGGAGGGTGGCAATTTAGTCCACTGGATTTGATGTAAAGTGAAGATGGGTAATTAATTTAAATATGATCATGATTTAATCATCCTTCTTTAGAATTTGAGACAGGCCTGTATATTGGACTACTCTTATGGGCCCAAATACCCCTATTACTGAACCATCCCTTTCAAAAGTTTGTTTTTATATACTTTTGTTACATTATTGATTAATTATTTTTTAATATTTTTTCGAGTGTTTGGTTAGATCACCAAAAAAAAAAAAAAAAAAAAAAATTTT